TAACAATATTCGGACCACCCTGCTGCTAAAATGACAAGACGACGATAACTAAGTAAGTATACTTACATGACAATACCAGTATGTTTTTCTTGGATTTCTCCTAACAACCGTTTCCCGTTACCACCACGGTTTATTTGCAAAAATCTATAGGACATGTTGGAATCTGGGAGTTTTGGAATGTAAACATAACCTCGTAAGAACGCGGGATTAATCTTTTTACGCTGAAACTTCATCAAAGCCACTTGCGGAAGTTCTCTTAGAACATGGTTTAATATCCAATAGATAGTACAATATTCAATAAAGCTTATTCTTTTTTTTGTATTTTAAGCATTTTTGACTGGGACCAACCGACTTTAATATTATTTTTTTATAAAAAATAAAAGGTTGTGGAAAAGTTTCAGTAAAAAAAAGGTGAGAAGTCGTTAATTATAAAATATTACGTGATACCTGATAATTTGTGACCAATGTGGGTGACGATCGGCAAATTGTAAATTCAAAATTTGGAAATGGTTGAACCCCGATATTATTTATAATAAATTCCGAACTTTATATATTTTACCTTTTAGGGATAGCTTCACTTTCAAAGATTTTACATTAAATTCTTAAAGAACAATCAAATAAATATATCAATATACTTTTTTAAACAATTATATCCTCTCTTCCAACACTTTGTATATTTTAGTACAAAAAACAAAAAAAGTGAAACGAACTTTTTTAAGATTTATAACTTGTTTTACACTTTATACATGTTTCATCAACCTTACAATGCTTTTTTAACAATGCTAATGATAACCAAAGAAAGTTTTTCTGCGTTAGCATATAACATCAATTATAAGGTAAGTTTCATACCCATGCTTACACCTAATGAGTTAATTATTCAGGGGTATTCTAGACATCCTTTGATTGATACCTATGTGTAATCAAGTTTTTTTAGAATATATTCTCATGAACTTGTTTAGAACACATGTGTCACTAAATTACTTAAAGTTTCAGAGTATCTCTAATTAATAAAAAAAACTTTCTCTTATTTTAGATACACTTACCTTACTATTGTAGTAATTGACTCTTTCACGATAATAACTTATATAGGATTATTTTCTTTTTATTATTTTTTACAGATCTGAAAGATTTGACGAAAAAGAGAAAATAGTTTTTCATACTATCATCTAATGATTAATATCTAGGATAAATTCTTAAGTGGAGAATTAAGATTGCAATTTAGATGCAGTATTCGTTAAAGCTTTATATATAGGGTTTCTTAGTTATAAGGTAGTATGCGTAATCATTGGTAAAGTTATATATAGGGTTTCTTAGTTTAAAGTAGTTTAAACAAGACTATATTATGCAAGTTAAACAATATATTTCTTCTTACTATACTTAACATAAAATATATGTAATTGCATTTAGTAGTCAGATCTTCTACTAATTACCTATTATAAAATTTATTGTAAGTTAAATTCGGGTAATCGTATTCCTTTTCTTTCTTTATTTAGTAGAAATACTAATATTATTTATAATATGTTATTTTTATTATAGATCTTTATTTTAGGAAAAAATTCAAAAGGCTCTAATATTAAAAATACATCAAGTTTTTTTGTAAAAAGTGATCAATTAGTATTTTATTTTAATAGTTATTAATAGAAAAAAAAGAAGACATATCACAATATTCATTATTTTACTCAAAAACTCTTAAATAATAAAAAAAGTAAGTATAATGGGATGAAAAATTTAGATAAATGGAAGTTGTATCTACCAACCTAATTTAAGTAAACTTTATGAAATTTTTCTGTTACTGTTTTTCAATAAAAATCTATTGATTCTAAAAAGAGAATCAACTATATAAATTTCTTTACTCTTAATTAAAACTTATAATTTTACCGATACTTAATATCAATCTTTGCCTTAATTAAAGTTTGCTACTAAAATTTTTCTACATTCAATATCTTAATTTAATTTTTATCTGATTATTCTTACCATGAAATAATTCTAAATAAATTTGCTTTTTTATAGAATAATGATAGGATCAGATCGTTTAATCTTATAGAATAAAATAAAATCATATCATCATTACCATTATTACTATCATCTAGTAATGTATTAGGAAAGATATTTTACTTTAGCTCAAATATTATTATAACTTTCATTTTTATCTCTATATTTAATATTATCTTACTAATTCTTATTAATTTATAAATTTCTAAGACAATTTATTAAATAATATTCTATTAAAAATAGCTTATTATGCTATATTTAGTATAGTTATTTTAATAGTAATCATTAATATCAATAAGTAAGTAAAGAAATAATGTATTTTATCATTTTTTATAAAAGTATTTCATAGTGTAATATAGTAGCTTAAGTACATTTTGACTATAAAGGTCTACTGTTTCTTTACAAGAAATCTGTAATAATATTACTTTATTGCTAACCTAAATAATGATCTGCAAGCCTCTTGAAAATGAGGTTTTACTTTTAGTTATCACCTTTATAACTGAAGTGGATCTTAAATTTCTACACTAATGTATTTCATTTCACTCATATTTATTTACCTTTACCTTTATATATTTTTATATATTTTTATGCATATATATTTACTACTTTTTGCATCTCCATTATCTACCTTTTCAAAGATATTTCTTACTCTTACATTTTTTATTTTAAAATAGAGTACGACAATGATAATATTTTAAGACAAATTTTTACTAAATTTTTATTCTAAAGAAAGAAGATTTTTTCTGATTGATAACATGTCTTAAAATTATTATAAGCAGTATTTATAAATTGGTAGAGATATTAATATATATGCTTACTAGGAATTCCTTATCATAATAAAGTTTACAATTATATATCCCAGAAATTTAAAGGAACTAACTACTATATTATTCATCACTTAAAGCTATTGTAACCTTTTTTATACATTATTCATTAGTATTTTTTTTCATTTTTATTTTAAAAATATATTAATATTTATGGATGTAATTTTCTCTAATCCAATTCAATTATCTGCTACATTTTTACCTTTAAATAATTAATAATTACTTATCAAATTTGGTATACAGAAAGGCTAGGTAAAAATTTGCCTACAGCAAGAGGATGTAAAAATAGAAATTTAATTGTTATGATTATATTCTCATATTATTGAACTTTACAAGTAATTCAAATTTAGGTATATATTATAACTTTCATAGTTTTAGCTATACAGAGGCCTACAGTAATTTACCGGATTTTTTACTATTTATAAAATTTATATATATAATGCGAGTTTTTATCTGTATATAGAAAATTTTATTTTACTAATTAATTAATAAAAACTTTTTTTAAAATAAAAG